ACAAACCTTACCTAACCTAGAGGACTTGTAGCCAGTTGTGGAAAGTGTACCACACGTGTGGTGTGGGGAAGTTTTCTCCAGAAGGGGGTATCAGCCCCTTCAGCCCCTTTCAGCCCCTTTCAGCCCTGAGGGGCCCAGCCCTCTCAGAAGGGTCAAGCATCTTGTTTACTGCTACAGCAAGTAATTGATCCTAGATGCAGTACCAGTATGCGACGTGGTCAAGCAACCGCCGCTCCGTGCAAGACTCCAGTGTTGCAAAGTGTATTTTAATAAGAGACAGTCCATCTCTTACCTTAGCAGGACAATTAAGGAAAATCCTGCTCCCACTTTATTACCATGGTAAAGATAGTGTACATTGTTGTCTATGCTTAAGACAGCAAGAATCAAACATTCTGCTTTGCTTCATGGAGGAAGTGACAAGGAAGCAAAAGTACTAGGTCAGCTTTTCCTTTATGTGCTAGGGGTAGTGACGGTGTAGGATGCTGTGACATCTTCAGATTACTTTTGACTCTACTGAGAGTCACACTGATGCCAGGATAACCAACAAAGAACACTGATCTGTGCATTAGTGTGAACAAAGTGTCTCACAAAACACAATAAACACTTACAGAGAAGTGTGATCAGCTTCTTTAGTGATAAGATTGTGAACAATAAAGTCAAACCTTGTGGAACATAGTGTACCAGTGTGTGTATTCCTAGACTATCTATGGAAGACGTGGACATCCAAGGACACATCAGCTTCTATCAAGTCACCGATACCTGTCGAAGGTGTGAAGAACACCATAGCTCATGTTACAAGAGCAAGGTGGGTTATAGATTTCTTGCAGTACGGGGGACTGCGCAGTTCTTGAGTCGCAAGGAGTTTGTAATCAACCTATAGTCGGCAGTGAGGTGCGGACTTTTGAGTCCACACAAGTACATAAGTCAGCCATCAGTGAATGAAATATGCTGACATAACGCCCCCTAGGGGTAATTTATTGTTTACATAATATGATCTATTACAGCCCATTGAGAGATGATCATAACAACAATTCAAGACCTCGTCTGCAAGGGAGGCTGTGTAGACGATTTGCTGTATTTTATCAGCTAAGTATTCCCTATATTTAAACTATAACCTTAGCTGGTAACCCATTTCTCAACATTTTGACTTTTATTCAATAATATACACACACACATATATATATATATATATATTATATATATATATTATATATATATATATATATATATATTATATTATATATATACATATATATATATATATATATATATATATATATATATATATATATATATTATATATATATATATATATATTATATATATATATATATATATTTGAAGATAGTACGAGGGTACGACTTTTCGAGATCGAGAATCAAACAGGACATTTCGACGCCGCATGTGATGAATCTGCAGTCGGTACTTTAGATATGGACTGAAAAAAGACATCCAGGTATGTAGTAAAATTATGGACAACAGAGGTCATGAGTGTGACAACAAGTTTATTGTCAACTAATACATCTCTGACGCTACTGAACTGAAGCTCAGGATAGAAGACAGCCTAATGTCAGCACTGGACGTACTGAAGTGAACAAGGGGAGTTGAAATATTGTGGAAAAATCTAAATTTCACTCACCTAATCCAGAGCCCAGTGTGAATATAGGAGCGTACCACCGGCCACAAGGGCAATACAAGTACTCAATAGGAGGAGTAGCAGTCACAAGACTTATTGGATGCGTGCTTTCTAATACCTACGAACCAGGTGACAAATTCTTTGCGGTCACTACCTGTAGTTTCACCCATCCTCCTATTAAAAATCGGGTTGCCCACTAATGTGCCGGAGTTCAAAGGGAAGACCCAACTTGCGTTAGAGGAGAAGGGGTTACGAGTCTCCTTGAACGAGGGTAAAATGGAAGCAGGTCCTAGTTTTCCCATTCACGTTCCCCTTTCATTGGAAACATTATTGCTGTCATAATCAGATCGCATGCTCTAAACCCATAGAGGAAGGAGGCATAGCAGTATATATACATACATATATATATATATATATATATATATATATATATTATATATATATATATATATATATAACCCTATACTGCACGAATATGACAGTATTCTGAGGCAGATTTTTACGAAAGTACTTACCCTTACTCTAGAAGACGGGCAGTGGAACCAAGCTACACTTCCAGTCAGACTAGGAGGCATTGGTGTCCGCAAGTCATCACAGATTGCGTTACCTGCTTTTTTGTCCTCGTGTATTGCATCCAGAGAGCTTGTAGCAGCGATTCTCCCTGAACATTTTAGGGACAAGATTGGAGTCCAGGACCAAAAATTCATTGACGGAGCAATGATCTGGCATAATCTAACCGGCTCTGAAACCAGACCTGCTCCCCCCAACAACTACAAACAATCGCACTGGGATGGCCCAATAGTGGAAAATATGGCCTCAACAATGCTTCAGAGTGTGTCAGGGAAGGATAGAGCCCGCCTCCTGGCAGTGAGAGCCCCTCATGCTGGGGACTTTCTGTTGGCTGTTCCCAACTCCAGCCTTGGCACACGCCTCGACCCACAGACCATCCGCATCGGTGTTGCCCTTCGACTTGCCGCCCCTATTCTCGCCGAACACTGGTGTATTTGTGGCAGTGAAGCAGCAGACCGATTCGGGTACCATGGTCTTGTGTGCCGCAAATCCGAGGGAAAGATTGCAAGACATGAGGAGATTAATAACATAATCAAGAGGAGCCTCACAACAGCTGGATGCCCAGCAGTAAGGGAGCCACCCCAACTATGCAGATCTGATGGCAGCCAGAAGCGTCCAGATGGTATCACCCTTCAAGCCTGGACAGATGGGAAGCAGGTGGTGTGGGACTATACATGTGCATCTACCTTGGCTGATACCTATCTCCAATACACCTGGGAGGAAGGAGGGGCAGCTGCCAGCCTCAGGGAGTCCCAAACGTCTAGACAATATGGAGAACTTGCCCATCATTATATGTTTGTTCCCATAGGCTCAGAGACCCTTGGTTCATGGGGAAAGAGTGCATCTAAATTCCTTAAGGAGCTGGGAAAAAGACTCATCAGGGTAACTAGGGATCTCAGGGCAGCTAGTTTTCTATTTCAGCGGCTCAGTGCGGGTGTTCAAAGGGGTAATGCCTGCTGTATTTTGGGCACACGCCCCAGCTCTGAGGAGCTGGATGAGATTTTCGCTTTATAATTGGTGATACACACGTAACAACATGTACCGTATATGCCACCTTTATATCAACAATGTATCTCTTGGGTCTTCTATACCATATTATGTAATAAAATATTCCTATTGGTAAAAAAAATATATTAAAAGATGGGGTGGTAGGGGAAGTGGAATATTCAAACGGTTTCAGGAAGAAATCCAAATTTTCTTCCTTGAAGCCTTTTTATCCACTTCTCCGAGGCTATGGGTCCCACAATTTACACCAGAGGTGGACCCTATCCTATATTTAAAAAAAAAAAAAAAAAAGGTATATATATATGTACATACATACATATATATATATATATGTTTGAGAATTTTCTTCTACCACCCTCTATATTTAATATATATTTTATTTAAAGACAAAATACATTGACAAAACATTCACGAAGATACAATAGAAAGTAAAACAACATAGGTAACTCAGAGCTACATCTCGAATACTTCGTCCAGCTCCCCGGCGGTGGGCCGTGTGCCCAGAATGCTGTAGCCATTTCCTCTCTGGATCACAACACTGAGTCTCTGAAAGAGGAAGCTGGTCGCCCTGTGGTCCTTGGTTTCTATGATGAGCTTTTCACCCAGCTCTTTGAGGAACTTCAGAGCACACTTGCCCCATGCTCCAAGGGTCTCCCACTCTATTGGGATAAAGTTATAGCAAGGGGGAAGGTCTTCATATTTGCGGATCTTCTGGGTCTCCCTGTAGCTGGCAGCTCCATCCCCTTCCACTACGGAGTATGGCAAGTAGGTGTCTGCCAATGTGGCGGCACAGATGTAGTCCCAGGCAATCTGCTTTCCATCCTTCCAAGGTAGCATAGTGGCTCCATCAGGACGCTTTTGACTTCCGTCAGACCTCTGCACTTGGGGTTCCCGTTGAGCTGGGCAACGGGCTGTGGCGAGGCTTCTCTTTATGATGTCATTGACCTCCTCATGCCTGGCATACTTCCTTTCTGCTGTCCGAATTGATCAGCTGTCGCCCTGCCGCAAATACACCTATGTTCGGTGAGGATAGGGGCAGCTAGGCGAAGAGCAACACCAATCCGAATGGCCTGTGGGTCTAGTCGAGTGCCCAAGGAGGAATTGGGAACAGCAAACAGGAAATCTCCTGAGTGTGGTGCCTTCACTGCCAGGAGACGAGCTTTGTCCTTTCCTGAGGCATTGGAGAGCATTGTGTTGGCGATTTTTTCCATGATCGGTTTGTTCCAGTGGGACTGTTTGTGTTCTTTGGGAGGAGCTGGTCTACTGGAGGAATCTGTAAGGGTGTCCCACCGAATCGCTGCTTCAGTAAACCTGGGGTCTTGAGCTCCTCCCAAGTCTCTCAAGCGTTCGGGCACTATCTTCTTGACTAATGCACTGGAAGCCAAACACGAAGACAGAAAAGCAGGTAAAGCAACGTGTGTTGCTTTGCGCACCCCTATACCTCCCAGTCGCACTGGGAGGGTTGCCTGATCCCATTGCTGATCCTCTAGTGACAGGTTTAGTGCTTTCTTAAAGGTTGACCTCAGGTGTGCGTATATATATATATATATATATATATATATATATATATATATATATATATATATATATATATATATATATATATATATATATATATATATATATATGTGTGTGTGTGTGTGTATAAAGAAAGGCTGTTTCTCAGGTTTTCTACTCATTAACGCAAGAAAGCCTAATATTAATTCATTTCCTCGTAAGCCGAGTATAATAATACAAGCAATTAAAACATTTTTATTTTTATTTAATAAAACAACACATACGCCTTGACTGCAACTGTACAAAAGTAAAATAAAATTTATGTAAAAAAAAAAAAACATACCACGGGCGGGGTTTGAACCAGCCATCAGAGTCTCAAAACTCCAGACCGGCGCCTTAGCCCGTGGTACAGTTTCTTTGCAATCGTGTCATTACGATTTCGTGAGTTATAATTTATGTGATTAATATTTTTCACAACAATGTCATTTTCTAGCAGACCTTCAGCCATATAAAAAAATTAAACTCTAACAATAGACAAATGAAAGTAACATTTACATTTGTGTACATTTATATTTGTGTACTGGATTAACAATGTAAAATATAGAGTTTTTGTTGTGTAGAAATCTTATTATTTTTTGAATTCAGAATTAATTATGTATATACGTTCTCCATCATTCAGAAATAAGATGTGGAAAGGATTTGTACAAATGTTTTAAATAAAATATAAATATATATATAACTGCTATAAATATATAACAGGAATTGGCATATGCAAGTCACTTTCAGTCAACCATTGAAGTATTTCATGTCAATACATTTAAAATGTGTAACGACTCATGAACGGAGGATCGAATCTCCACCACTCCACCCACATAGACTTACATCTCCACATCAAAATCTACCAGTAATCATTATTATAACCTCAGTCAAAGACACTCTAGGAGTTCAGTGTTAACTACATACACGCGTAGTTAAGCAAAATTATTTACTCGTCGTAAACTTTCCTAGTTTTCACACTTTTTACGCTGAGAACCAGCTCAACTTCAACTATGTTATAAACTGAGAAGAAATATTTCGTGCTCATTAAAGATTTACAATTTGGATTCGCTTCATAGTTTGGATTCGCTTCTCTGATAATATTCTAAGCATCAGATTACAGGTAAATACTGAATCAGGTGAGATTTTTTTCAGAAAGAGGTTGATCAGACCCTGACCCACCATGAGGCCTGGTCTCAGACTTAGCCGCGGGGGCGTTAACCCCCCAAACCCTCTCCAGGTAAACTCTTCAGGTAACTAACAAGAAATAACGGATTACACAAGAGATATACAAGTTAAATCATCACCCATGTGGAATATAGTTAAGAAGTTTTCAGAGATATTGATGCGTCTCGTACATTTAGTGGTAGATCACGAGTAAATGGTAGATGTGATGGATACTAGGTGTCAGAAAACAGAAGAGAAGTGACAGCAAAAGATTTAAATAAAATGTTTGAGACTAGAATACACAATTACCGGAAGAAAGGTTATCTATTTCGAACTTAAGAATGGTGTATCAGTGTGTGTTGCCCTGATGCATTAAGCTGGTAAGTGCAGGGGGAAAGAAAACTAATTGGCGAAATAATCAAGTTGGAATGGCTATAAAGAAGAAGGAGAATGAGCACAAAATAACAAGAATAAGCAGCGTGGCTCAAGAGTTTGAGACTTAAACATGTACTTTTGAAATAGTGTAAAACTGTTTCTTGCCATCAAAGGTATTGTGAAGGCATATAAGAGGACGTAACGAGCACTAATGTGGCAAGCGATCTACGTAATTGGTAATCTTGATGAAAATTGTATAGAGACTAATAATGTTAGAATATGTATGAAAGAGAAGAAATATTTCTAGTAAATCTAAACAAGACAAATAGTACTAATGTCTCGATAAATGTTTAATATGGCGAGAGTGTGCGAGAGAGGTGTGGCTCTAAGAAATAACTAATATATGAAGTGAGAGTTGTTGCAATAGCCAGTTGCAGATGATACAGTGTCATGGGAAGATTCAGAAGAGAAACTACAATTTATTTTAGAAGAGTATGTACGAGGATGCTGACAGTGCGAGCAGATAAGAATAAGGTAATAAAAATAAATAGAATAAAGAGATCATAATGGAAGGAGACTAGAGAAAGTGAATCTGTTGAGATATTTAGTAGCAGATGGATTAAGAGATGATTTTTGACAGCGTCGTAAATCACAGTAGAGACGAGGGAAAGTTCCAGGAGCGTGGAAGAATTTGTGGAGACTAGTCTGTCACAGGATGAAAAAAGAGGAATGCTCCAGAGCATAGCAGTGGAAACACTTGAATGAGTGAAACGTGATCCTTGAATGCTCCTGTTCTGACAAAAAAGTGTAGTTGAAGAGGGTGAGAAGTGAGTGGTAATTTTTTCTTTTCTGGATCAGATAACTTACAATAAATTACAATAAAGATATCGTAAACAATAAAATGTTTCTCTATGATAATTACTTAAGTACATATAATGAGCATATATTACTATATATAAAATGCATATATATTATTTAATATAGTTGTACCACATAAAAGCAATAATAATTCTACCTTCTTGGTTATAGCCGTGGCTGTAAGTAATTTATATACTATCGTCCACAGGATATATACACATGGGAGTGTGTATCTCTCGGCGTATATACACTGAGATTTAACTTTTATCTGTGTCTTTAAGATTAAAATGTATTTTACGAGTATGTTTACCTCTAGGTGAATTACGGCCGTAATGACCGTCGTGTGACTGATAACTTTTATATAAAAACTAACTAATATATGTACTCTCGGGCAATGAGTCCGTGTATTTCTTTTGTACGTACTCTGCCCGTGTCTAGATGTCGTGAGCTCATGTCTCACTGCAGTGGCGTCGTGTCTCACTGCAGTGGTGTCGTGTCTCACTGCAGTGGCGTCGTGTCTCACTTCAGTGGTGTCGTGTCTCACTGCAGTTGAGTCGTGTCTCACTGCAGTGGAGTCGTGTCTCACCGCAGTGGAGTCGTGTCTCACCGCAGTGGAGTCGTGGCTCACTGCAGTGGAGTCGTGTCTCACTGCAGTGGAGTCGTGGCTCACTGCTGTGATCTCACTTTTGAAGTTTGATGCCAAATACATCTTCGTGATACCGATTTTCTTCCTGAAATATAATATTCATACTTACTTTTATTTTATTCATTATTAAAAAATTTTACAATATCAAAAAGGACATAAGACATATTAAGAATAATATCCACTTGATAGGGAAGGATATTTGCAACAAAAGATACAGAATATTTGCAAGATAAATTACAACTGCATGAGAACAGTGAGAACAAAATGAAATTTCATTAAGTGTGAACCAGAAAAAAAATTATATTTTATAATGCGAAGTAAATGATCATTATCACTAGAAAACGCTAAACCAGAAGGGACCATAAAGAGCCTGGGTAGCTGGAGGTAATGAGGCTTGAACCTAAATTATACTTACCCGACAAGTGATTTCTCCGATGAGAGGCATCAGTAACCACCCGAGTACCCAGAGTAGCACAAGATATATGGGAAAAAATCCATTGAAAAGAAGACAGAGCCTCTTGAAGTTATAATTATAACCAAGGAAAAGCATAGCTCAAGTTCTTTAGATTAAAGAGCCTTTCATAGGTTATGAAGGCAATTTACCAATCCACATTCCCTAGCTAGAAGAACATTACCTCACTTATACATACAAGAGGACTCACAGTTTGTGTCCTCGACTTCACGTAAAACTCTTTTTAAAATATCTTTAACAGTAGATAAGAAGTGAGCAGAGTCTTAGCTAGAGATCATTTATGATACTAATGGGTCCCCACACATAACTGTTACTGAAGTTTCAAGACGTCATACATTTAGCTAAAAGAAAGACATTAGGTTCCTACCTAATAATTCGTAAAGACGGTTTTTACATAGAAGGAGAAAAGAATAAATAGGATGTCATATATCTAGCTAACAAAAGGAAGAAATATTGGGTTATTACATAAATTTTGGTTAAGATACTGGACCATATTCTTGAGTTGAAAATTAAAAGATGTTTTTAAATTAAGTTATGAAACCTGAGGCATTAAACCGAGCCAAAACACTGATGTTATTGGGTCACCTTCATGCTAGAAAACATCAGACAAACCTTCCAAGCAGCCAGGATTATATCCACCTGCTTTCTCACCCTAAATTATTTTTTCGTTCAGTCTAATCTTTTCCCCATTCCCCCTTCTTCCCTCACCCCATATTCCTTAACATAAAACTATTAATTCCTTTCCTTAATTCTAATTCTCTGACTTTAAGTTTGATAAAGAGGCTGTGGTGCTCACTTTTAGTTTGGAGAGAAAAGAGAAGGCCTGGTCCTTTGAGAGGCGGGAGTTGTGTGTAAGTATGGCAACCAGTGTGTTGTGGACGTCATGGGCCATAGCATCTCCTCCACAGACGTAGATGTGGCCACCATTCTCCAAAAGATGTCTCTGTACTTCCTTCCCGTACATTACCAACAGATCCTGCACGTACATCTGTTCACAACCATATCTCAGATTAGCAAAATATAATCCAAAACCGCCATATATATATATATATATATATATATATTTATATATATATATATATATTATTTATTATATTATATATATATATATATATATATATATATATATATATATAATTATATAATATTATATTTTTATATATATATATATATATTATATTATATATATATATATATATGTATATTATATTATATATATTTATATATATATATATATATATTATATAATATATATATATATTATATATATATGAATATATATATATACACATATATATATAAATAAATATATATACATATATAATATATTATATATATGTATATATTATATATTATATATATATATTATATATATATATATATATATATTATATATATATATTTATATATATTTTATATATATATATATATATTATATATATATATAATATATATACATATATTATATATATATATATATAATATATATATATATATATATTATATATTATATATATATATATATATATATATATATATATATATTTTATATATATATATATATATATATATATATATCTTTCTTCTTTCAACACACTGGCCGTATCTCACCGAGGCAGGGTGGCCCAAAAGGGAAAACGACAGTTTCTCCTTTTACGTTTAGTAATATATACAGGAGAAGGAGTTACTAGCCCCTTGCTCCCGGCATTTTAGTCGCCTCTTACAACACGCATGGCTTACGGAGGAAGAATTCTGTTCCACTTCCCCATGAAGATAAGAGGAAATAAACAGGAACAAGAACTAGAAAGAAAATAGAAGAAAACCCAGAGGGGTGTGTGTATATATATGCTTGTACATGTATGTATAGTGTGACCTAAGTGCAAGTAGCAGTAGCAAAACGTACCTGAAATCTTGCATGTTTATGAGACAGACAAAAGACACCAGCAATCCTACCATCATGTAAAACAATTACAGGCTTTCGTTGTGCACTCACTTGGCAGGACGGTAGTACCTCTTTGGGCGGTTGCTGTTTACCAACTTACTACCTAGGATACTATATATATATATATATATATATATATATATATATATATATATATATATATATATATATATATATATATATATATATATATATATATATATGTATATATATATATATATATATATATATATATATATATATATATATATATATATATATATATATATAATATATATATATATATATATATATAATTGTGGTAGGAGATCTGAATGCTAAAGTAGGAGAAACTTTTAGAGAGGGTGTGAAAGGTAAGTTTGGGGTGCCAGGTGTAAATGATAATGGGAGCCCTTTGATTGAACTTTGTATAGAAAGGGGTTTAGTTATAGGTAATACATATTTTAAGAAAAAGAGGATAAATAAGTATACAAGATATGATGTAGGGCGAAATGACAGTAGTTTGTTGGATTATGTATTGGTAGATAAAAGACTGTTGAGTAGACTTCAGGATGTACATGTTTATAGAGGGGCCACAGATATATCAGATCACTTTCTAGTTGTAGCTACACTGAGAGTAAAAGGTAGATGGGATACAAGGAGAATAGAAGCGATACAAGGAGAATAGAAGCATCAGGGAAGAGAGAGGTGAAGGTTTATAAACTAAAAGAGGAGGCAGTTAGGGTAAGATATAAACAGCTATTGGAGGATAGATGGGCTAATGAGAACATAGGAAATGGGGTCGAAGAGGTATGGGGTAGGTTTAAAAATATGGTGTTAGAGTGTTCAGCAGAAGTTTGTGGTTACAGGAAAGTGGATGCGGGAGGGAAGAGGAGCGATTGGTGGAATGACGATGTAAAGAGAGTAGTAAGGGAGAAAAAGTTAGCATATAAGAAGTTTTTACAAAGTAGAAGTGATGCAAGGAGGGAAGAGTATATGGAGAAAAAGAGAGAGGTTAAGAGAGTGGTGAAGCAATGTAAAAAGAGAGCAAATGGGAGAGTGGGCGAGATGTTATCAATAAATTTTGTTGAAAATAAGAAAAAGTTTTGGAGTGAGATTAACAAGTTAAGGAAGCCTAGAGAACAAATGGATTTGTCAGTTAAAAATAAGAGAGAAGAGTTATTAAATGGAGAGTTAGAGGTATTGGGAAGAAGGAGGGAATATTTTGAGGAATTGTTAAATGTTGATGAAGATAGGGAAGCTGTGATTTCGTGTACAGGGCAAGGAGGAATAACATCTTGTAGGAGTGAGGAAGAGCCAGTTGTGAGTGTGGGGGAAGTTCGTGAGGCAGTAGGTAAAATGAAAGGGGATAAGGCAGCCGGGATTGATGGGATAAAGATAGAAATGTTAAAAGCAGGTGGGGATATAGTTTTGGAGTGGTTGGTGCAATTATTTAATAAATGTATGGAAGAGGGTAAGGTACCTAGGGATTGGCAGAGAGCATGCATAGTTCCTGTGTATAAAGGCAAAGGGGACAAAAGAGAGTGCAAAAATTATAGGGGATAAGTCTGTTGAGTATACCTGGTAAAGTGTATGGTAGAGTTATTATTGAAAGAATTAAGAGTAAGGCGGAGAATAGGATAGCAGATGAACAAGGAGGCTTTAGGAAAGGTAGGGGGTGTGTGGACCAGGTGTTTACAGTGAAATATATAAGTGAACAGTATTTAGATAAGGCTAAAGAGGTCTTTGTGGCATTTATGGATTTGGAAAAGGCGTGTGACAGGGTGGATAGGGGGGCAATGTGGAAGATGTTGCAGGTGTATGGTGTAGGAGGTAGGTTACTGAAAGCAATGAAGAGTTTTTACGAGGATAGTGAGGCTCAAGTTAGAGTATGTAGGAAAGAGGGAAATTATTTCCCAGTAAAAGTAGGCCTTGTGCAAGAAAGGTATAAAATACCGACAATATGAAAGTTAAGACACATGTGCAATATCTGGATATCTTTATTGTAGACGTTTCGCCATCCAGTGGCTTTATCAATACAGATTCTAGGACATAATTGGAAGACAGTAGAACTATATACAAAAGATGAGGTAATCAGTCCCTCAGCCTTGGAGTTAGTGTTCACAGCATCGTGGTGGAGGAGAATCTGGAGAATCTCCAGTGTATTTATTACCTTGGGTACTGTGGGTTGTCTGGAGAGAGCCAGGTGTATTCTACTGAGGGCTCCAGAACGCAACATGGTCCACTTCTCATCATCGTAGAGGTCCTCAGCCTGGGTCCTGCATCCGTAGTACAGCACCAACTCGCCCACCACTCCTGCACAGAATATTATTAACATCACAGCATTGTCAGACTCACAGCATTATTAACCTCACAGCAATGTTAAGCTGCACCATTGCTAAATCCATCCTGTTGTTTGACCTTAGTAATTTTATAACTCGGTTCATCACTTTGCAGAGCACTGATTCCATCCCAGCATTATTAATCTCGTAAGAGTTTAAGCTCCAGTCTGGGCTACTGGAATAGGAACACTTTCGAAGCCAGTCACAGGTAAGTATTGTTACAAAAAAATTCAATATTCTTTTTCAAGCAAGGCAAACCCAAAATTCCCATTCTCATACGTTAGTGTACCCTGCATTTTCTCTTCTTTTCATGAGCATTGTAAGTCAGACAGAACTGTTACCGTCATGCTGTCGTAATCCTTACAATGTTATCATCCTGAAAGTATTACTATCTTACAAAAGAGAAACCTTTTTGTTATCTTTAAACCCTAACTACTGAAAAACCACGAAGCAGTATATACCTAAAACAGAGACAAGTAAGCCAAAAGGAAGCGCTAAAACCTTTGGAGTCATATAGTGCTTGAGGAATGTGGAACAATCAGGCTTGATCGAAGGAAGTGAAAAGCAGATCCAGTTCCCTGGATCAAGATCCCATTAACAATAATCAAGGTACACAAAAGAAAAAAAAAAACATTGTAAATTTTTATAGATAAATATTTCGAATTATGCTGCATTGAATACCGAGGCAGGATTAATAATAGCAAAAAAAAAAAAAGAAAAACAATCTATTTTAAAATACTGGTATAAAGTAAACAGAATTACCGACAATGTGTTAGGTTAGAGGAGACATGTACAACTAATGTGACGTTTTATTGCCGCAACGTTTCGCTCTCCGAGAGCTTCGTCAAGCTTGGCTCAACACTGTGTTTGACTCTACTTAGTTAGTCTTAGAATATAATCTGAAACCAGAATTTATATTTCACTAATGTTTGCTGACAAGAGTCAGTCTTTCTCCAAAGTTACCTTACCTGGTGGCTAAAGCTCCCGCTTCACACACGGAGGCCCCGGGTTCGATTCCCGGCGGGTGGAAACATTTCGACACGTTTCCTTACACCTATTGTCCTGTTCACCTAGCAGCAAATAGGTACCTGAGTGTTAGTCGACTGGTGTGGGTCGCATCCTGGGGGACAAGATTGAGGACCCCAATGGAAATAAGTTAGACAGTCCTCGATGACGCACTGACTTTCTTGGGTTATCCTGGGTGGCTAACCCTCCGGGGTTAAAAATCCGAACGAAATCTTATCTTATCTTAATACTCGTCATGTAAAATAATAATACTGACATTGTCCCAACAAGATTAATATACAGAAGTTCCCGAGAGTCTGTACCCTAGAATCGACACTTCCACAGTTGGTACAGAGACTTTTTATTTACTGTGTTGCCAACAAAGCTCATATATGCCCACTCACCTTTGTTTTGTGTTTTAGTGTAGTGGTAGCGTTGCCAGAAGCCTCGGAAGGGCGCTATCCCACTACCTGCCGCCACCATCATCACCGGCACTTTAGGGTCTTTTGGCAGGTGGAAGTTTGTGGCACTGCAAGTGAACTTATTCTTAGTTCAAATGTACTGACAAAAAGCTGCGTATGAGAGTCTCTATAATGTGTCTCGATGCTGAAGGGCTCTTGACCAAGATATTGGTCAAGACCATTGTATGTCAACATTGATCATATCCCTTTCCCCCAGGAACATTTAAAAACCTGAAATTTTTTTCAGTAAGCTGATGCCTATAAAGTGACGCAAGACAGACCATAAGAAAATATAATATGCGATAAAGTGATCATACAGAGAAACAGCCATAACTCATGGCAGACCAGTGACACAGAGTCGGTAGCAAAGCAGAGCTTGTGGTATTTGAAAGAGTCACTCACCTTCTGTGGAAGAGCTCTACGTTACTGCCAACTTGAACCTTCTTCAGGAACCCTGTGGCAACGCCCTGATGCACCGCTCCGGCTCCACCTGCAGCAAAGTTAATATTACTGAACTACTGATGTAGCATATTTACTGCCTGACTGTTGGTGTTTATTCTATATAAATTATTATGCCACCTGTTGTGTAGCCTATTTGTTTCTTTTTCTTACTATTTCGTGGTGATATGATTATCATTTATTTCTTAAACCCAGAAATTTAGATTTTATAAATAAGTCTAAATAAAGGTAATATCATATCTTATATTTTTAGTTGATGGATTTGGATCAACATCTCACAAACTCTCTCACAGAATAATTTAAAATTTTAAAGTTAATGAGCGCATGCATGTTTTTTTTTTTATAGGAAAACCTTTATAAAAAAAATAGTATGTTTTACTAATGTCTTTATTTGGAATAATTTTGAACGTTTAAATATTCATGTAAAAATTAATCAGAAAATTTGAAATGCAGCAATTTATTACACAACCTGGTAATACTTTGTCAATATGTTTAAATTCTGAGGGGCATGTTTTTCTTGATGTGTATACACTGTCAGCATTAGTCTTTAACGCTGATGTATCTGTGAAATGCACCACACTTTCACACACTTGTACCCCTGCACCACGATGGTACGAGTACACATGAAGGAAACTCACGTCTTACGCTGGTGTGTGTCAACATGATTCCATGTTTACAAACTCATTCTAAGTAATTAATGCTGAATTTAAGGCAGTTAGTGATCCATACCTCTGGTACGGTACTGGAGGCCGGCGACGGTGAGGTGGAGTCTTCCCGGGTGGAGATCTGGACAGCTGCTGATGGAGTAGTACCTCGGCTGAAGAAGTGGCAGGGCACTCACCAGAACTTTGGCCTCGACCTTCACACTGGGAAACTCCTCCAGCACCTCCAGGAGGTTCGGGTGCTGCCACGATTTCCACTGGCGGTACTCGTCCTGGTCCTAAGGGAGGAAAGGAAGATAGTGAGGGGGGAAGGGAAGATAGTGAGGGAGGAAGGGAAGATAGTGAGGGAGAAAGGAAAGATAGTGAGGGATAAAGAAAAGATAGTTAGGGAGGAAGGAAAGATGGTGAGGGAGGAAGGAAGATAGTGATAGAGGAAGAAAAGATAGTGAGGGAGGAAGGAAGGTAGTGTAGGAGGAAGAGAAGATAGTGAGGAAGGAAAGATAGTGAAGAAGGAAGGAAAAATAATGAAGGAGGAAGGAAAGACAGTGAAGGAGGAAGGGAATATAGTGAAGGAGGAAGGGAAGATAGAGCAGCTACTATAGAATTTTGACCACCTTTGATAATATTAATCAGGTTTTGCTACGTATTAAAATTTCAGTTTGTTCAAATTCAGTTTTTCATTCCGTTCTTCAAATGGAACAAATCAGTTTTCACTCTCATTAAGTTTAACATCACTGAGGAATACAGTTACATGGCAGCCGTCAGCACTCGTGTGTGATGTGAGGGAGTAACATGATGTGAGTCTCATAATGAAGTGAGAGAGTCTTATGGTGATGTGTGTAAGAGAGAGAGAGAGAGAGAGAGAGAGAGAGAGAGTCTCATGGAAGGGTGAAATCTACTGTTCATTTTCTCTTAGGGATAAAGAAACGTTCAGGATATTTTTGTATTATTATTAATAATGAAATAACTGGGATGTGTTATAATCGCAAGTATTTTGCAGCACCTGGGAAACAGGTAGTAACCAGGATTAATATAAGGAGAGAGTAGCTTCAGTGACTTGAATAAAGAGCACCTCACCAGTATTAATGCACAGAACTTGAAGTGTCAATACTCGGGAGTACAGAGGCAGCCCGGAACTCTGAGGGCATTCTTGAGCTCTGAAGAAATATTAAATTACTTTTCCATATATAGGCCTGTCAAGGTCATAAGATCACAGAAAACAGGTGATATCGTAATATGCAATATAACTGCAGTCAAGTATAGTATTGCATTAAGACACATATGCAACATCTGGATATCTTTATTGTAGACGTTTCTCCATCCAGCGGCTTTATCAATACAAATTCTAGGACATAACTTGAAGGTAGTGGAACTATGTACAGAAGATGAGGTAATCAGTCCCTCAACCTTGGAGTAGGTGCGAAGAGCACCGTAGTCGTGGAGATTCTGAAGCAGAAGCAAGACGCCTGACGCTTGTATGCTAACTTCAGGTGGAAATGGGACGGGTAGCAGACGAGGGCATAGTAACTGGTAGGCGGGATTCCCCAGTGGAAGTAGGTCCTACCCAATGAGATGGGTTAGTTGTAGTAGTAGTTGTCGTAGTCGTGAAGGTTATGTACATGTCCTCAGAATCAAGATTCCATGATGTTGCAGTGTCTGACAAGTTGTACAAGAATGGTATACATGTATTGATAAAGCCACTGGATGGCGAAACGCCTACAATAAAGATACCCAGATGTTGCACATGTGTCTTAATTTCATCTTGTCGGTATTGTATACCATTCTTGTACAACTATAGTATTGCAACCGTTTTTGTAATTTATTACCACGGAACAGTCCTCTGATAATGTGAGAAATCACGAAATCGCTTGGAATATTACTATTTTCAGTGTGATTTTATTGCGTATACTTTGATTTGATATTTGATTTTGATATGAAGCTCACCTGTAATTGCACAGCTATTCTTTATAAATATGTGAGACAGCAGTGGAAAAGAAGTGAGTAGAAAGAGGAGAGATGAAGAGATCAAGTACAGAATATTATATGACTGCTCGCCAGAAAGATGAAAAATGTTAAATATGCAAATGAGACAAAAAAATATAAATACAATGCATAATATATGATAATAGGTCAAAGAACAAAATACGAAGTGTAATTAAGAAAGATATAGATAACAGAGAGAAACTTGTGATAGGGATACAGGAGATAATATAAGTACATAAGAAAGAAGGAATACTGCAGCAGGACTATTGGCCCATGCGAGGCAGGTCCAAGTCCCCCACTGGTCCTAGCCAATGCCCCAAGAGAGATAAGTGAAATACCGTGGCCAGCTGATTGAGACGAGATGCTTGCCGATTGTTGTTAGCGTGGGCGGCCAAGAGCTGGAGCATGGTGGGCGTGGGAGGTGTGGTGATGTCCAGGTATCGTGACAGCAGTTCACGGAGGCTGGCCACCGGCAGGTGTGGGTGAGGCTCCCAGCACACACCTGTCAATACACACCTCTTAACACATTCACACCTGTCAGCACACCTGAGAGGAGCAGCAGAACTTCTGTGCAGCTTTTTTTAATTCATATTAAGCGCTAAACTCACATGGGTTATTCAACGCAAGAGGCTGTGGAGGCTTGATCCTCCGTCTGCTGAGCTCAAGACAGACACTGACGACCGGACTGCTAAAAATCAGAAAATGTGGTCCCAAAATACAAAGAGGAAGGCAGACATGATATATTGTATTAAAGACAAGTATTATCAACAAGCATAGGAAAAAAATTGTAGGAAAAATCTTTCTAGGAAGAGACTTGTTGAACATCTGGAGAGATCGTGAACATAGCAAATTATCAGTATAAATTCAGAGAAAATAAAGCCTGGCTCACGAACTTACTAATTTGTTTACAGAATCATTAAAACTCATTATACAGTGACTGGAGCAATTCACAATACCGGCAATGTAATAGGATATTGTAAACATTTCGATCCATCCTGGATCAAGTTGGGCTTGATAATATTTTAGAACAGCCTGAAACGTAGTTAAAAGCTTTTTTTTTTTTTTTGGAAGCTGTGAGTGGTTGATGGCTCTATGGCGGAACAGGGAAGCAACGACACCTAACTTGTCTGTGCTGGGCTCCGAAGTCTGTAATAACCTTATACAGATCCCTCAGACCAGACATGCCCTCCCTTTGGTATGTTTCCTAACACCTGCTGTCCCTGTTCACTTAACAGTAAGTAGGTACATAGGTGTTAGTCGACTAGTGTGGGTCGCATCCTGGGTGACAAGACTGAAGGACCCCAATGGAAATAAGACAAAGTCCTCGATGACGCACTGACTTTCATGGATTATCCTGGGTGGCTAACCCTTCGTGTTAAAAATCCCATCAAATCTTATCTTTTCTTTAGTTTTACCACTCACATTGTCTTGTCTTTTTCCCTTCCCTCCACCCAGAAATGTTAGGAAGTAATTTTTAAGTCTAAGCGTGGCAGAAATGTGCAATTAACTGGAAAAAAGACGAGGAGGAAGCATAATGTCAAGAGCACATATGTAGGACTTGGACCACAGGCCGGTCCATTGCAGGCTGAGAGGTGGGACTGATTTACTTTACTTCACATCTGTCAGCTTGTCTGTTATTTGAAATGTACTACCCCTGGTTTATATAATATTTGCATGTGACTTAGCCATCTTGTTAGGCTCTGTGAACGATCCATACCTGTGGCTCCCTGTCGACGCTGAAGAAAGATCTGGATGGATGAGTCGACGTCAGTGTAGCGGATTAGTCGAGCTAGTATAGCAGTGACCAGGGCTGGCTTGTTGGCAGGGAAGAGACCAATGTGATCCCCGGGTTGGTACTGCAGGTCACCATTGCTCACATCCACTACCACCATCTGCAGCCACCTGCAGGTTGTCAAGGAGCAGATTATTATTATTATTATTATTATTATTATTATTATTATTATTATTATTATTATTATTATTATTATTATTATTATTATTATTATTATTATTATTATTATTGTTGTTGTTGTTGTTGTTGTTGTTGTCGCTCTTTAAGTACTTGCCTCTTGTGTGATTTGTCCTGACCATTGACAAGGATCCTTTAAAATATAAATTATATTTTGAGACTACTGCTGAAGTGCTCTTAATGCGTCGCCATATCCTTGGTGACCTACTTACATGTTTGTGACATGTTGGTGTATGGTGACAACTTGTGTGAAGCACGTTGCATAAGAATATAAGACGGAGCACTACAGCAGGCCTACTGGCCTCAACACGTTCATATGCTAACTGAATGTTAACGTGGTTAAATAAAATTAGTGTCATACCTACTAGAAGCTCCAGCTCCTCGAAGGGACTGCATTTTAATCTCTAAAGAAAGCTCTGGTTTCTTTAAAGTTAACATTTTTGTTTTTCGAGAATTCCAGCTGCTGTTTAACTGTGACCTGAACTTCCTCTCCTTATAAGCTTTTATGTGGTTCAAAACTCGTAAAATTACTACTAATAATTTTTATAGAGGTGGATGGGTAAGCCAGTGGAAGGCCTCGATCAGATGGCCTAGAGCTTCAGCTACGGGTCATCATATGACTAAGACCCGCGTCAGGAAGCACTTGTCCTGTTTCCTGACGAATATTACCTAATATAACCTCAAGATACTTAAACCATACCACGGGTGGGGATAGAACCCTCGGTCAGAGAGTCTCAAAACTCCAGACCGTCGCGTTAGAGACTGGACCAGCTAGCCACAATAAGATTCGTCCAACTAGGTATATTTCTACACCATAGGAAGGTTAGCATAGGCACCACTGTGACCACAAATGCAAGTTTTTACAGACGAATCTCCAGCTAGCGTGGCCGTGACGAACTCTAGCTCAAGTCCCCTCAAAGCCGTTAACATGACTCACGAAATCGTAATGACACGATTGCAAGCAAACCATACCAAGGACGGGAATAGAACCCGCGATCAGAGAGTCTCAAAACTCCAGACCGTCGCGTTAGCCACTGGACCAGTTACCCACAATAAGATTCGTCCAACTAGGTGTATTTCTACACCAGGTTACCATAGGCACCACTGATCGCGGGTTCTATCCCCGCCCGTGGTATGGTTTGTTTGCAATCGTGTCAATACGATTTCGTGACTCAAGACACTTAAGTAATCACCCAGGGCACTTTGTTGCGGAAAAAGGTTCATTCCTGAGACCTTGTTCACTTCATGACAGAGTAAACAAGATCCCAGGATGGCAACGTTTTTAAAACAAAATGTCCTAAGTTTTTGCTCGTGAACTTTTAACTACAACTTACCGGTATTGTATTGCAAGTTTTCACCTTAAACTGTTATGTTTCGTGTTGATAAGTAACACACATGTGCAACAGTTTGTCATCTTTATTCCAAAGCGTCTCACCTACAATGCAGAGTACAGAGTACAGAGGAGTCAGCAGAAGCAGTAGAGATGTACAAACGATGTAATCAGTCTATCGCTGACGTATATGTGTCTTACTTATCAACTTGTCCGTATTGTATGCCATTATCATATCCACCATTATGCTGCAAGTTAAGCTTACCTGTCTCCGTCCTCGTGGAGAAACTTAGAGTCCAAGACTGTGAAGCTTTGTACCTTCCTCGCATATAGCTGAGACAGACCTGTAAAATGAAGGATAGTGTGAGCCCACAGCTAGTGGGAAATAGTTTATTGGGTATGGGTTTGTGAAGGATCTGTCAAATATGGGCTGGTAGACCTACTGCAGTATACCTCCTTTCTTATTTTTCTTATATGTGAAGGTATAACAGCCATTTCAGACCCCCAAAGGGTATAGGAAAGAGCTCTTCCTCCTTATAAAAAGAAAAATTTTAGAAAAATTAATAATAACGAGTAAGAATAATCAATCGTAGAAAAAGGCCGGTAGACGTGCTGCAGAGTTCCTCCTTTCTTTTGTTCTTATGTTCTTAAAGAGTTTACTAAAATTCTGCACTTGGGAGAGGAACTTTATGACGAGACGACGTTTCGATCCGCCCTTGCCCATCGTCAAAGCACGTTGAAAATGGTTTACAGCAGCGACAAGATCAAGATATTAAGCAACAGCTGGATATCTTTATTGTTGATTGAGAGGTTTCACCTACCCATTAGGCTTCTTCAGCCTGTATGTGACTGAAGAAGCCTACTGTATAAGCGAGACGTTTCACCGAGCTGTTGCACATGTGTCTTAATCAAACTGTCAAAGTGCATTGTCAAACCCCTACCATATTATTTTCAGGCCTTTTCTATTTTCCTCGTTCTAGGTGTGACTTGACCATGGTCCAAAACGGAACCAAACGTCCTTATAAGGTGTCTCTCCTAAATACGAGTTTTCGGCTATTTGTTCCAGCCACGGTATTGTGACTTTTTTATTCAACAGTGAGAAAGACACTGTAGTGATATCTTCATTACTACATTTCGACCGGAATAGACTTGATCACGCACGCGACAAAGTCCGGTACTGGGCGAAATGTCGAAATCAAGGTTTCATTGAGAACAAGATGCCCTTCTTAAGAAGCTATAAAACGAACTCAACAATCGTGGAACTTCTTTTTAAAAATACATAATTTATTTGAAAATTAGAATGTGATTATATATACTATATTTAATAACTGTTTTACCCGTAGGAGCATTTTATATGAAATAGATAATAGAGAAAAGGGCGCAGGAAATAGACTGTATAATTTACAAATAATTTCAGAAAAGTTGTGATTAATAAAGGAAGTTATATAACAATTATACAAAATAAAGATATCAATAATACTGTTGGCAACATTATTTTAATTATCTGAATGAAGAAGGAAATAAGAGATCAAGACAATTATTTTAGAAGGAAGTGAATAATCTAGGAAAAAGAGAGAGAAATATCTATATATATATATATATATATATATATATATATATATATATATATATATATATATATATATATATATATATATATATATATATATATATATATATATATCGTGCCGAATAGGCAGAACTTGCGATCTTGGCTTAAATAGCAACGCTCATCTTGCCATATAGGACAAGTGAAAATTTGTGTATGCAATAATTTCGCCAAAATCATTCTGAACCTAACGAAAAAAATATATTTCACTGTGTTTGCTTGGTATTAAATTATTGTAAACAAATCTAAAATATATTTAGTTGGGTTAGGCTAAAATAAATTGTTCTTGTTATAATAAGGTTAGGTAAGTTTTCTAAGTTCCTTTTGGTGCAAAATTATAAATTTTTACATTAACATTAATGAAAAATATATATCTTTAAACGTATAAGAGAAAATTTTAGAAAGGACTTAATTTTAAATGAGTTCTTGCTAATTGACAAGTTTTACATATTCGGCACGACATATATATATATATATATATATATATATATATATATATATATATATATATATATATATCCTAGGTAGTAGGTTGGTAGACAGCAACCGCCCAGGGAGGTACTACCGTCCTGCCAAGTGAGTGTAAAACGTAAGCCTGTAATTGTTTTACACGATGGTAGGATTGCTGGTGCTTTTTCTGTCTCATAAACATGCAAGGTTTCAGGTACGTCTTGCTACTTCTGCTTACACTTAGGTCACACTACACATACATGTACAAGCATATGTATACACACCCCTCTGGGTTTTCTTCTATTTTCTTACTAGCTCTTCTTCTTGTTTATTTCCTCTTATCTCCATGGGGAAGTGGAACAGAATTCTTCCTCCGTAAGCTATGCGTGTTGTAAGAGGCGACTGGAATGCCGGGAGCGGGGGGCTAGTAACCCCTTCTCCTGTATATATTACTAAATATGAAAGGAGAAACTTTTGTTTTTCCTTTTGGGCCACCCCGCCTCGGTGGGATACGGCCGGTGTGTTGAAAGAAAAATATATAATATTATATATATATATATATATATATATATATATATATATATATATATATATATATATATATATATATATATACCAGACCTGCTCCCCCCAACAACTACAAACAATCGCACTGGGATGGTCCAATAGTGGAAAATATAGCCTCAACGATGCTTCAGAGTGTGTCAGGGAAGGATAGAGCCCGCCTGCTGGCAGTGAGAGCCCCTCATGCTGGGGACTTTCTGTTGGCTGTTCCCAACTCCAGCCTTGGCACACGCCTCGACCCACAGACCATCCGCATCGGTGTTGCCCTTCGACTTGCCGCCCCTATTCTCGCCGAACACAGGTGTATTTGTGGCAGTGAAGCAGCAGACCGATTCGGGTACCATGGTCTTGTGTGCCGTAAATCCGAGGGAAAGATTGCAAGACATGAGGAGGTTAATAACATTATCAAGAGGAGCCTCACAACAGCTGGATGCCCAGCAGTAAGGGAGCCACCCCAACTATGCAGATCTGATGGCAGCCAGAAGCGTCCAGATGGTATCACCCTTCAAGCCTGGACAGATGGGAAGCAGGTGGTGTGGGACTATACTGTGCATCTACCTTGGCTGATACCTATCTCCAATACACCAGGGAGGTAGGAGGGGCAGCTGCCAGCTTTAGGGAGTCCCAAAAGTCTAGAAAATATGGAGAACTTGCCCATCATTATATGTTTGTTCCTATAGGCTCAGAGACCCTTGGCTCATGGGAAAGAGTGCATCTAATTTCCTTAAGGAGCTGGGAAAAAGACTCATCAGGGTAACTAGGGATCCCAGGGCAGCTAGTTTTCTGTTCCAGCGGCTCAGCGCGGCTGTTCAAAGGGGTAATGCATGCTGCATTTTGGGCACACGCCCCAGCTCTGAGGAGCTGGATGAGATTTTCGCCTTATAATCGGTGATACACACGTAACAACATGTATATATATATATATATATATATATATATATATATATATATATATATATATATATATATATATATATATATATATATATGCCACCTTTATATCAACAATGTATCTCTTAAATCTTCTGTGCCATATTATGTAATAAAATATTCCTATTGGTAAAAAAAAATAGTTTAAAAGATGGGGTGGTAGGGGAAGTGGAATATTCAAATGGCTTCAGGAAGAAATCCAAATATTCTTCCTTGAAGCCTTTTTATCCACTTCTCCGAGGCTATGGGTCCCACAATTTACACCAGAGGTGGACCCCATCATATAAAATATATATATATATATATATATTATATATATATATATATATATATATATATATATATATATATATATATATTTATATATATATATAAATATATATATATATATATATATATATATATATATATATATATGTATATATATGTATATATATATATATGTATATATATATATATATATATATATATATATATATATATAATATATATATATATATATATATATATATATATATATATTTATTTTTTATTTATTATCACACCGGCCGATTCCCACCAAGGCAGGGTGGCCCGAAAAAGAAAAACTTTCACCATCATTCACTCCATCACTGTCTTGCCAGAAGGGTGCTTTACACTACAGTTTTTAAACTGCAACATTAACACCCCTCCTTCAGAGTGCAGGCACTGTACTTCCCATCTCCAGGACTCAAGTCCGGCCTGCCGGTTTCCCTGAATCCCTTCATAAATGTTACTTTGCTCACACTCCAACAGCACGTCAAGTATTAAAAACCATTTGTCTCCATTCACTCCTATCAAACACGCTCAAGCATGCCTGCTGGAAGTCCAAGCCCTCGCACACAAAACCTCCTTTACCCCCTCCCTCCAACCCTTCCTAGGCCGACCCCTACCCCGCCTTCCTTCCACTACAGACTGATACACTCTTGAAGTCATTCTGTTTCGCTCCATTCTCTCTACATGTCCGAACCACCTCAACAACCCTTCCTCAGCCCTCTGGACAACAGTTTTGGTAATCCCGCACCTCCTCCTAACTTCCAAACTACGAATTCTCTGCATTATATTCACACCACACATTGCCCTCAGACATGACATCTCCACTGCCTCCAGCCTTCTCCTCGCTGCAACATTCATCACCCACGCTTCACACCCATATAAGAGCGTTGGTAAAACTATACTCTCATACATTCCCCTCTTTGCCTCCAAGGACAAAGTTCTTTGTCTCCACAGACTCCTAAGTGCACCACTCACTCTTTTTCCCTCATCAATTCTATGATTCACCTCATCTTTCATAGACCCATCCGCTGACACGTCCACTCCCAAATATCTGAATACGTTCACCTCCTCCATACTCTCTCCCTCCAATCTGATATTCAATCTTTCATCACCTAATCTTTTTGTTATCCTCATAACCTTACTCTTTCCTGTATTCACCTTTAATTTTCTTCTTTTGCACACCCTACCAAATTCATCCACCAATCTCTGCAACTTCTCTTCAGAATCTCCCAAGAGCACAGTGTCATCAGCAAAGAGCAGCTGTGACAACTCCCACTTTGTGTGTGATTCTTTATCTTTTAACTCCACGCCTCTTGCCAAGACCCTCGCATTTACTTCTCTTACAACCCCATCTATAAATATATTAAACAACCACGGTGACATCACACATCCTTGTCTAAGGCCTACTTTTACTGGGAAAAAATTTCCCTCTTTCCTACATACTCTAACTTGAGCCTCACTATCCTCGTAAAAACTCTTCACTGCTTTCAGTAACCTACCTCCTACACCATACACTTGCAACATCTGCCACATTGCCCCCCTATCCACCTGTCATACGCCTTTTCCAAATCCATAAATGCCACAAAGACCTCTTTAGCCTTATCTAAATACTGTTCACTTATATGTTTCACTGTAAACACCTGGTCCACACACCCCCTACCTTTCCTAAAGCCTCCTTGTTCATCTGCTATCCTATTCTCCGTCTTACTCTTAATTCTTTCAATTATAACTCTACCATACACTTTACCAGGTACACTCAACAGACTTATCCCCCTATAATTTTTGCACTCTCTTTTATCCCCTTTGCCTTTATACAAAGGAACTATGCATGCTCTCTGCCAATCCCTAGGTACCTTACCCTCTTCCATACATTTATTAAACAATTGCACCAACCACTCCAAAACTATATCCCCACCTGCTTTTAACATTTCTATCTTTATCCCATCAATCCCGGCTGCCTTACCCCCTTTCATTTTACCTACTGCCTCACGAACTTCCCCACACTCACAACTGGCTCTTCCTCACTCCTACAAGATGTTATTCCTCCTTGCCCTATACACGAAATCACAGCTTCCCTATCTTCATCAACATTTAACAATTCCTCAAAATATTCCTTCCATCTTCCCAATACCTCTAACTCTCCATTTAATAACTCTCCTCTCCTATTTTTAACTGACAAATCCATTTGTTCTCTAGGCTTTCTTAACTTGTTAATCTCACTCCAAAACTTTTTCTTATTTTCAACAAAATTTGTTGATAACATCTCACCCACTCTCTCATTTGCTCTCTTTTTACATTGCTTCACCACTCTCTTAACCTCTCTCTTTTTCTCCATATACTCTTCCCTCCTTGCATCACTTCTACTTTGTAAAAACTTCTCATATGCTAACTTTTTCTCCCTTACTACTCTCTTTACATCATCATTCCACCAATCGCTCCTCTTCCCTCCTGCACCCACTTTCCTGTAACCACAAACTTCTGCTGAACACTCTAACACTACATTTTTAAACCTACCCCATACCTCTTCGACCCCATTGCCTATGCTCTCATTAGCCCATCTATCCTCCAATAGCTGTTTATATCTTACCCTAACTGCCTCCTCTTTTAGTTTATAAACCTTCACCTCTCTCTTCCCTGATGCTTCTATTCTCCTTGTATCCCATCTACCTTTTACTCTCAGTGTAGCTACAACTAGAAAGTGATCTGATATATCTGTGGCCCCTCTATAAACATGTACATCCTGAAGTCTACTCAACAGTCTTTTATCTACCAATACATAATCCAACAAACTACTGTCATTTCGCCCTACATCATATCGTGTATACTTATTTATCCTCTTTTTCTTAAAATATGTATTACCTATAACTAAACCCCTTTCTATACAAAGTTCAATCAAAGGGCTCCCATTATCATTTACACCTGGCACCCCAAACTTACCTACCACACCCTCTCTAAAAGTTTCTCCTACTTTAGCATTCAAGTCCCCTACCACAATTACTCTCTCACTTGGTTCAAAGGCTCCTATACATTCACTTAACATCTCCCAAAATCTCTCTCTCTCCTCTGCATTCCTCTCTTCTCCAGGTGCATACACACTTATTATGACCCACTTCTCGCATCCAACCTTTACTTTAATCCACATAATTCTTGAATTTACACATTCATATTCTCTTTTCTCCTTCCATAACTGATCATTTAACATTACTGCTCCCCCTTCCTTTGCTCTAACTCTCTCAGATACTCCAGATTTAACCCCATTTATTTCCCCCCACTGAAACTCTCCTACCCCTTCAGCTTTGTTTCGCTTAGGGCCAGGACATCCAACTTCTTTTCATTCATAACATCAGCAATCATCTGTTTCTTGTCATCCGCACTACATCCACGCACATTTAAGCAACCAGTTTTATAAAGTTTTTCTTCTTCTCTTTTTTAGTAATTGTATACAGGAGAAGGGGTTACTAGCCCATTGCTCCCGGCATTTTAGTCGCCTCATACGACACGCATGGCTTACGGAGGAAAGATTCTTTTCCACTTCCCCATGGACAATAGAAGAAATAAAAAAGAACAAGAGCTATTTAGAAAAAGGAGAAAAACCTAGATGTATGTATATATATATATATGCATGTGCGTGTCTGTGAAGTGTGACCAAGTGTTAGTAGGAGTAGCAAGATATCCCTGTTATCTTAGCGTGTTTATGAGACAGAAAAAGAAACCAGCAATCCTACCATCATGCAAAACAATTACAGGTTTTTGTTTCACAGTCATCTGGCAGGACGGTAGTACTTCCCTGGGTGGTTGCTGTCTACCAACCTACTACCTATATATATATATATATATATATATTAATATATTATATATATATATATATATATATATATATTTAATATATATATATATATATATATATATATTAAATCATTACCTATTTTAAATCATTACCTATTTCATAAATTTTGGATATTTCCTCATCTATGAACTCAGGACTACAAATTCGTAAAGCTCTCAAAATAGGTAATGATTTAAAATACCCAAGAAATGTAATTGATAAATCTTTTAAAGTTGCTAGAAACACTTTTTATAATCCAAAAAGGGACAACCAGCCTTATTCAACTAAAAATATGTTGGTTCTCCCTTACCATGAAAACTTGGTTGATATGCCTTCTCTTCTTAAGACTTTTAATATTAAAGTTGTATTCAAAAATCTTGATACAGTGAAAAAACTTTTGATAAAGAATTCCCCCCAAAATGTTGATGGATGTGTCTATAAGATTCCTTGTAAAATTTGCGATAAAGTTTATTACGGTCAAACTGGTAAAAATCTCGAACTAAGATTAAAACAACATAAATATAGCATTAGAACTGGACAAGATTCCAATGCTCTATTTATTCATGTAAGAGATTTTAACGACCCAATTGATTTTCAAAAAGTTGAGAAAGTAGTATCAAGCAAGTCCATGGTCGACAGGAATATAATTGAATCTTGTTTCATAAAAAGCAGTTTTGACAATAATATGAATATTTCCTTTGGTTTATATAAATTAGATCCATTTATAATTAATAGAATTTGGGAAGAATTTAATAATACACTGGACAAATAATAATTTTTAAATTTTCTTGGGTAGAATAGCTTGGGGGTGAGTTGTGCAAGGGACCTATTCAAGTTGGGTCGCCGCGCGTCACGTGTTTAACCGTTGTGGGATCTGATAGTGAGGTGCTGGCCGGACCCCTTATATAGCTTCCTTGGATGCTTTACTTTCATAGTTCCTTGATAATGTGAGTAGTCACGAAAGCGCTTGGAATTTCTCTATTCTTTCAGAGTGGTTGTTTTGCATATTTTGAAATCACCTGTTTTTGTGATCTTATTGCATATATATATATATATTATATATATATATATTATATATATTATATATATATATATATATATATATATATATATATATATATATATATATATATATATATAAATCATTCCCTTGCAGTATCTACCTTGTTTGAGAGGGGTGCAGTGACTGACTGTTGACATCTTGACAGTATCAGTTGTCAACTCGTTGATCTTGAGTTGAACCACAGGACAGCCCCCAGTACCAAATTCCTCATCTGACACCTGAAGCACAACAACATCACTTGGAAAAGTTACACCTGACAAACAACAACGTTATTTGAGATAGTTACATCTGACTCCTGACACGTAATATTTAATGTTTTATCTGACACCTGACACAACAATGTTACTTGAGAAAGATTATGATAATATTCATAGAAATATCTGCACAGGTGGAAATTATTCATTGGTGCACTTTTCCAAAGAGATTCTCTGATTCTCTACCCAAAGTAATACAATATTGGTTGATTATTTAATCAGATTTACAGTCTATCGTCTACACGTGGGTCATTACAACTGCATGTAACCTGTTTTTGCTAGTTACTTATACTTTTATAGTATCTAAAATTATAGTATCTAAAATTAGACTTAAACCAGTCAGTGCATATTGGATTTGAAACCTGTCGACTAAACGAGAGTCAGTAAGGTTGCATGCAACCTTAATAACTCGTTTAGGTAAATGGACACAGATGCAACTACTGTGACATTTTATTGTGGCAATGTTTCGGTCTCCAGGAGGCTTGTCAAGCGAAACTTTGCTACAATAAAATGCCACTTTAGTTGTATCTGTGTCCATATATCAACCATTTTCTGGGTAACCCTACCATTATTACTGATCTGTTTACAACCATTCATGAATACTTTAATTACTAATATGAGTCCATATGGATTAAATAATATTGTAAGTGTATTATATATTCACAGATACATACCATAACATTTGATTTAATAATTAAAAAAATGTTTGAACACAGCTCATGTTGTGTTTATGCATTCATATATCTTCTTTATGGTTCAGTTCAGTTGTGTGTAAAGCGTCGTCATATATCTCCCAGCATACATAAGGGGGATTACCAATAGACCCCTGGCTGTCTTCAAGAGGGAGCTGGACAGGCACTTAAAGTCAGTACCTGACCAGCCGGGTTGCGGTTCGTACGTCGGTTTGCGTGCGGCCAGCTGTAACAGCCTAATTGATTAGGGCCTGATCCATCATGAAGCTTGGACATGGACCGACCCCCGAAACACTTTCCAGGTATATTAATGGCATATACTGCAGACAAATAGATAAACAAGACACATGTCCAACAATTGGGTATGTCTATCGTCGAAGCATTTCGCCTATTGAAGCCTGCTGGGCATAGGAAAGTTTTGAAAATAGGCCTATCAAACTGTTTCACAAGAAAGGATTAAAAGCCACAATAAACTTGACTGGAACAATACACAAATAACCCCCACATAGGAGAAAGAAACGACGTTTCAGTCCTACTTGGACTCTTAACTAGTGTGTGATCAGTTAATAATCCAAGTCGATCCGAAACGTCTTCATAAGTTTCTTTCTCCTATGTGCTGGTTATTTGCGTGTTGCAAAAGTGTCGAAAGTGTTTTAGTAATTGAGCTTTTCTTGACGCTTTTCCTGAAAGACATTTTAGCTCAGATTTGGAAATATAATAATGAAAAAATGAGTAACATTAACGAAATACACCATTAAGTAGATCTGCAATAAACACCTGTGTGGGTTATGTATCTCAGTATCTAATCCTACCCCTGAGCACCCGTGTGACTGATCCGCTAATAGCGGACGGAGTATCGAGCCTCCACTACTCCTTACACTGAATGATCCAGATGTGATCAGAGCCTCACATGAATATAATTAGAGTGAGCACCTGTGTGTAGATTAGGTGTACACCTAACTAGCCCTCTCCTGAACAAGTGTGCATCATTTGTTGTGCCAGTGATCTGAACATTTGTGTAAATTAAGTACACTATTAGCTTGGCTTACCTTAAATGCCTCAGAGGACCAATTTTGGAAGGCGAGTTCTTGATTGTCAAGTTCATCCCCGCAGGCCAGGCTCAGCAGGCGCTGTCCTCCTGACTGATGCAGTAGACGGTCCACGTACTTGCCGAAGGCGCAGAAGTCTTTATAGTTACTGGACCCCAAGGCGAAGACAGCGAATCTGATGCCAAGTATTGTATCAGACCCACGACTCAGCACACAAAAGTCAATAGACAAGCGCGTTAAAATGCAATTTGCGTAGTCATCAAGTGGAAGTGGAAGTACGTCAGCCTACACTTGAGGTACCCAGGTAGTGTGTCAACTTGATGACGCTGGATCACTAGTTAGGTGGAGCGACTTTCTTGAGATTGGAAAGAGAATCAGAGTGTATATTTCAAAGACTAACCCAAGCTGACACAGGCTTGGATACTGTTACCACTGTAGCCTCGTAATTATCTATTTGTAAAGAACAAGAGGCACAATACCGTGTCTAGAACAATACACAGATATCCCACACTGACGTTTCGGTCTTACTTGGAGCATTTACCAAAAACATGTGGTGTGACTTGTTAATGGTCCAAGTCGGACCGAAACGTCATCTTAAGCTTCTCTCTCCTATGTGCTGGATATTTGTGTATATATTTGTTACTCCTCCTCGTAGCTATGGAAACAGTCTTGCTCGTGGTGTCCCATCTTCATTAACTCGTTCACAATTTTTTTTTAAATTTCCATTGGATGTAGCACTATCTCCACTTCCATTTTCTTCCATTCTTCTTTCACTTTAGATTCAGATTGACGGTTTAGATTGAAGGTGACAATGTCAATACAGCAGAGGAGAATTATAATAAATACATTAATGACTTATGTTTACGAGGATTTGTTAGTAAAATACAAACGTCAGAAGAAAATGCCAGTGAAATTGTGACAACATTAGAAGTAAAATAACTATAATTATGCCGGACGTTACTATTACTGGCAGAAGAAAAATTTTTTGGTAATGTATTAGTTACACGAGAGTATGGAAAATGGGTGACAAGGAAGGCAGTCAGAAGTACTCACTTGAAGCCACTGGAAGTGCTGTAGACTAGAGTTCTGCTCCCCAGGTCCTGTTGAGAATCCTGACGCCGTCCCAGCCTACGCAGAAGTCTGGCAAACCCGCTCATCTTCTGATCATTTGTCTCCTTCCCCTTCAAGTTGCCTACACTGTCGTCGAGCACGTTGCTGAAGAGAAAAAAAAATATAGTTTACCTGACTTAGCTGAAGAGTTTCTAAAATCAAGCGAGATTTTTTTTAATGTTAGTTATAAACAAATAAACATAATTTGTTAACACTTGACCGTTCCTGACACTGGGCATAACGACACCAAGTAAAACCCTCACAGAGGGCTTTATCAAGTCACAAACAGAGCTGTTTGTAATTTGATAAAGTCCTCTGTGTGGGCAATACGTTGTCAATAAAGGATCATGTTATGCTGAATTGTGGACGACACGTTGTCAATAAAAGATCGCTTATACTGAATTTTTGTTTCTTTTTCATTTGTAGCATAAACTCATGAAAAAGCCAGAAATTGTACATTATCACCTCTTTGCGCTGACACCACTTGATAACATTACCATACACAAATAACGCTCAAATAGGAGAAAGATGAGCTTACGACGACGTTTCGCTCCAACTTGGACTATTTACAAAGTCACACTAACAGAAAAGAGTTCATGTTCATGTAGCTTTGCCAGGACGGGTCCTGGCCCAGGTCTTCTCCGTGTGGTGACCCGGCAGTGACTCCTGAAGGAGTGTACAAGATGGTACAAGTGATGTACCACTTACAGTCCTATGGCAGAGGCAAGGTGAACATTCCTGTCAAGTGGAGTACTATTTAGAGCCCTATGGCTAGGGCACCCCTATAACAAAGGCGCTGTGAGCCTTCTCCAGGTCAAGTGGAGTATCGTTTACAGCCCTATTGCTGGGTCAGCCTTATGACAAGGGCACAATGACTCTCTCAACTCCATATGAGTTATTCCTGGTACTCAGGCCGCAGCCCAATTATCAGAACGACTCAGAAAAATCTCTGGAGGTGAGTTGAACACCTCCAGGGAGAAAAGAGTGAAGGAACCAGCATATATAGGCGAGAGGGACAAGGACAGGAACAAGAGAGGAAGAATGGGAAGTAGTGGCAGTGGTAAGGTAGATAGTGGAAGTAATAGTAGAAGAAATAGTTGTAGTATAAAGTAGAAAGAGTAGTTTAGTGGCACAAGAAAAGTTTTCTTTTTTTTGTCTCTCTCTCTCTATCTCTGTGCTCTTCCTTGAATCAGAAATTTCCATTCTTCATAATTAAATCTCTCGTCTTGGCTACTCTTCCGATTTCATAAACTCTGTCTTCTCACGTGCCAAACGGACTTTCTTCTCTCCAAACTCCCTCCTCCTGTGAAATATCCTGTTCTCTGTCTTCCCTATATTTCCAGTCTTTCTAATCTCAACAACCCTCTCCGTTCCTTAGATATTAAACTTACTTTTCGCCAAACTGACACCCTTCGAAGTAATCTAGTTCGTACTTCTCCTCCAGTTATAGATGCCCCTGGTGTCTACTCCATTTCATACTCCTCTTGTCCTCTTTACTACTTAGGAGAGACTGGTTTCTCTCTTTCTGACAGACTCAAAGAACACAAAAGAAGTGTTAGGCTCGCCGACACTAATAATGCTCTTTTCTGTCAAGTTAGAGATCACAGTCATCCTATTGACTGGTCCTCTTCTAAATCTGTCTTCACAACTTCTAGCTTTCACAGTCGCCGTCTTGTTGAATCCTCCCTTATACACAACTTTCCTTGCATGAATCTTGGTCCTGGTTTTGTCTCTGTAGATGCCATCCTTTCTCATTACATTATCAAATGCTCCAAACTTCGGAACACTCGTGACTTAACCTGATCCTTTCTTCTCCTTTCCTTACTCTTCTCCTTTCCTATTTTTTCCCCTTCTTTTCTTTTACTTTCTTCTACCCAGTGTGTCCTGTTAGTCAGTTTTCCTCTTCCCCTACGTTTTTGGCCCTACCCCTTGTGCGTCCTTAGCTCTCCTGCAGTGCTCCTTTTACTTGTCCTTAGACTGACCCCCAATTCTACTTCTACTACGTCATCCCCTCCATTCCTCTACTATTGCTACTACGTTTACTATTCCCTCCCTTCACTCTTCATTTCTTTCACCCTTCATTAAACTGCGTTTTCTACTTTATACTACCATTATTCCTCCTACTTCTGCTTCCACTACCAACTTTACCACTACCATTACTTCCTCTTCTGAAGAATTAAACACATGTGCAACATCTGGGTGTCTTTATTTGTAGACGTTTTGCCATCCAGTGGCTTTATCAATATAATACAAGGACATAGTGTTCCTTCAAGACTACAGTGCTCTTCACCAGCTCTAAGGCAGAGGGACTGATTACCTCATCTTTTGTATATAATTCTTCAGATTATGTTCCTGTATTGTATTGATAAAGCCACTGGTTGGTGAAACGTTTACAAATAAAAATACCCAGACGTTGCACATCTGTTTAATTCTTCTGTCGGAATTGTATACAATTTATGTACTACTTCCTCTTCTCCCTTTCTTGTTCCCGTCCTTGTCCCGCTCGCCTATATTAACTGGCTTCCTCATTTGTTTTGTTAGTGTGACTGTGTAAATGGTCCAAGTTGGGCCGAAACGTCGTCGGAAGCTCCTGTCTCCGATGTGCGGGTTATTTGTGTGTTGTTCAAGTCACGGTATTGTGCCTTTTTGTTCTTTAGCATTACCGTCTTCATGCGCTGACACCACTTTGACAGCATTATCATCCTTTTAAACACCCAAGTTGTCCTGAACGTCTCCAAAATTCTCGCATAAGGCAATGCTAAAATTTACATACATAACCAGCACATCCACTGAAGACCTCATCAGAATTAAAGACGAAAACCCTGAACCATATCAAAGGCTGTGACAAGATGTACTCTAATACTGCCAAACAGTGCGATATCTAGAAACAGGTCTAAGAGGACACCTCTACTCATGCAAATGTAACAACTAGAATCATACATGTGTGCAGTACCGGAATGCCACCAGTCACTTGATGAAGTGGAACAATGTCCAATTATTGATTAAGGAGCCAGATACCTGCAAATGAGGATATCTTAGAGCGTTATTAATCTCTCTTTCTGACACAGTTACACAGAACAAAACCAGCTTTGTTATCTCTAAAATATTTGCAAGAATCCTCTTTACAACTATAAATCCTGCAGCCATAACCCGACGAGTCACCTTTACTATTACTGCTACTATTTCTATTACTACTTCTATTACTACTACTGTTATTACTACTACTACTACTACTGCTGTTGTTGCTGCTACTGCTGCTGATACTACTACTGCCACTATTAGTATTACTGCTACTACTACTACTACTACTGTTTGTACAATTATTTCTATTACTACTACAGCTTGCACTACTGTTACTACTACCACTACTGCTGCATCTAATGCTACTACTACTACTATTACTATTACTCCTACTACAATTGCTACTCTTATTACTAACATTAACAGATAGGCATACTTCAGTGCTTATGTTTTTACTCCCAGTACCTCACCATATTTCCTTCACATACCTTCTGTGTTCTTGTATTGTTTTTATAGGACTGAATCTCCTGGAGAACGAAACGTAACCGTAATAAACGCCTCATTAATTAAGCCCCGAAAATGTACAAAAAACCACATTAAACTTCAAAAAAATCAATAAAATGTGCAAATTATTATTTTTGTTTTCGAAGAAAAAATCACGAACTATAAGAGTATTATTCACATTAATGAAATACAATGAAAAAATTCAGGGATATTACTTACTTTTTGTAACGGTTGTAGTCTTCATGGAAGGTAATCCTGTGAAAAATAATTCAATATTTTAAAATACGCTTATGAATATTAAGATAATATTAACAAAGTACTTTTAATACTAACAAAGTACTTATAACATTAACAAAGTACTTATATTAACAAACTACTTATAATATTAACACATTACTTATAATATTAGCAAACTTCTTATAATGTTAACATAGTTACTTTACAAATTATCGACATGAAACTCGTAAAACGAACAAAAATTCTTAAATAAATCATGTGACTGACATTTTAAGTGAGGCCAAAAGTTGTCTATATTAAAGTCAACCGTCAGCCATTGTGACTTGGAGTTTGTTTTCATCGCTGTCTGTCTTATTAATGTGGCTTGTACCGAAGGAAAGACGTGAGGGGACAGAGAATTTGCTACAATGAAAGCTTACTCTGCACCTGTGTATTGGCAGTACACCCTTTGCATCCAGATCCGTTTGGAGTGGAGAAGTTCCCAGGACCGAAAGGTTTTTTCTTGCAATGTCTTAAATGTTAGCACAGACCAGTTTTTATCTTTTGCTCATTTCCTCTGGAAAAGGAGCCTGAATGCTAGAGTATCATATCTCTCTTACAGTCAGTATACGGAGGATCGATCCTCCACCATAAGTGAATAACCTCCACGAGCTTAGCGAGTCATATATAAAAGCTGCATTGTCTTTGCTTCACACCAGTAAATTTCATTATCCTTCTGTCACTTGCTAAATATTTATCTATGCCTGTTTATTTTTCACGCTTCTCCCATCACACATGCTGTCTGGAACAACTATATAATAACATATCAAGGCCACATAGACAACTAGGAAAAAAAAATGATTACTAACTTGTCAATGTTAATGTTGTTAGTGCTTCCGTTGTCGAGTCCCTCCTTCAGGTTGTACAAGGTCTTGACGAACGACTGTGAACGGTTGTGAACATGAGAGAGAGAGACCTTGAAAATCCCTCCGAGAACACGAAAGGAAGATAGAGAAAGCTGGAGAACATGGAGAGAGGATAGAAAACATGAAGGGAGGGTAAAGAACATAAAATTAAGGTAGAGAACATGCAGGAGACGTAGAGAACATGGAGGGGAAATGAAAACACAGCAGGCAAAATATCCAGGAAAATTATATATGGTTGTCGAAGATAAAGAAGGAGCTACGCAGCTAAAGGAAAGCGTTGGAATGTAGATTTAATAATATAAGAGATGACATGTCAAAAACGGTAAAGAGTAACAGTAAATATCTTGACACTACGCGAAAACTGTAATATACACAACCTGTCAATTCTGAAAATAATGGTAGACTAAATAGTGTTGGACTAAATATGTTGGACTAAATATGTTGGAGTGTGCCAGCGTCTCTCATTAACATACCTGACCGTTCTGTGGGGGTTCACCAGCACCTGTGGTGGCGGCGACCACCAGCAGGAGAGTTTCGTTCTCCAGCGCAGCTCTGCTCACCTTGTACTCATCCATACACATCACCTGAAAGGACCATA